TGACACACGTGTTGAAATAGGGAACTTAAAAGCAATTTACCTTTTATATTCCTTAAATAACCTGATACTGATACCTTCTCCCATCGTCTGCAGCACGGAGAAAGCGAGCTCAACCTTCAGGGCAGAATCGGTGGTGATTCTTCCCTCTCAGAACGAGGCAAACTTGTAAGTTCATTCCTCAGCTGCTTTCCTTGGCGGTCTCTCCATATCTTCCCCCCACCCGCCGTTTTTTCCCACCATAATTAGTTTTAGCAGTAGCAAAATCCGGAACAACCACTGAAGGACCGAGAGGTTCATTAGACATCAAAAATACTGGCGGAAATTTTAGTGAATGCTTCCAGATGGCATGAATCGCATCGGTGCCCTTGCAATTTGACTTACAGTGGATGCGTTATCTTATTAAATGTTAACTGAGATTCCAGAACGTGCTTCCATTTAGAAAAAAATAAATTAAGTGTAATCTCCAGGTATTTCTGTCACACCAGGATACCGGCCGTCTAAAAAACTGCATTATGCGTGAATGTATACTTAAGTAGTATGCATTTTCCCAATGATTTTTAATGTTTCTAATAAATTTTAACTATTGCGGTGAATGTTCAAATTCCACGTGTGCGTATAAGAAGAGCAGGACTTGTCGCCCACCGGAATTACGGATTTATTTGGCTGAGCTTTCAAACTTCGTGCAGTCAGAGATGAAAGTAGCGGCGAAAAACAAGCAATAGTTTTAGGTATCCGAGGCCAATAAAGCACCAATGACGCCCGTCCGGAGGTGACTGCACAGGGCTTTGTATGCAGGCACCGGGCCGATAACTCGATTGACTGAGTTCGCATTAGGGGCCCAGGTTTCTATCCATTGCCCGTTTGTCTTGCTTCTGGTGTGGACGATTCTCTTCGTGGCTGAGAAGTCAAACTCGCGACCCCTCTCCTAGGTGTGGCCCGCCATTTGTGATAAACCGCCCCCCTCCCGTCTCATGGACAGTTTATGTTCGCGTATGCGTTAGCCAGGCATACATTTAGTCTGTCCTGTGTTTATGAGGACAGTTTAGGCATGGGA